TAAGAGTTTCTTCTAAAATGGTGTTTTCTGTAATTTTATTTATTCTTTATTTTTCTACAAGCATGGCTTGTAGGTTTAATTCTATTCGTTTGCATTTGGCTTCGTACTCAGGAGAACACCAATTGATTACATACCTTAGTTGTGCAGCATAATAATATTCTTTAAAGCTACGGAGGGCTAAGCCACTATTTCTTTTATCTAATTGAAGAGTCTTAAATTTAAATCTTAGTCTTTAACCTGCTAAGATAAATCTGGGTAATCGTTTGTTGCACGTTTTAAATTGGGCTTCTGGAATCTTAAATGGTAATGATAGAAAGACATATAGTAGCCTAGGCAATATATTCATCTTAATTATTTCTATTCTTCGGCTACAATCCAACACTAATTTCAACCATTTCAAGAAATCTCTGTATTGTGTTGTTAATTGTGGAATAATATGTTTGCTGAATTTTGCCCAGGTCTAGCATAAGTGTGACTCCCAAGTATTTAATTGATTTATTTTCCCATTTAAATGTGTATTTTTGTCTAATTTCGGAATATAGTTTTTTGGTAGTAGGTGTGTTTTTTAGGTATTAATTTTATATCCTGACCTCCTCCCGTATTCCTCCAGTTTTAAAAACAGTGTTGGAAGTGTTACATTAGGATTCTGTAAAATATATAATTACGTCATCAGCGAATAGCCCGATTATATGGTCTTCTCCTGCAATGTTAATGCCCTTCAGTTGCTTGTTTTTTTTTTTTTTTAATATCAACAGTGTTAGGACTCCAGTCTGTGTGTTTGTGTTTTGTGTGTTTGTCTTTCTTCCTCCACCAGGCGGCGCCTGGTCCTGATTCACCTCCTCACACACCTGCTAAGGGTTACCTCATTAACGGAGTGCTCTTTAGCTGCTGACTGCCACTACCTCAATGCTAGTTTTGGGTACTCTAGCCAAGCTGAGTTTTGCTGAGTCAAACTGAGTTTTTGTCAACCTGAGTTTGAATCTTGCTATTTTTTGTCTTTGCCTCTCAGCAGGAAGTCATCCTGCAAACTGGACGTTTTGGACCTTCTCTCCCTGGAAGGATAAACTGAGCCTCAAGCTAAGCTAGGGATTCAAACTGGAGGTTTGGATCCACTTTCCTCCAAGGGATCGTTTGTGTTTCACGCTGAGCAAGGGATTCATCTGCACCACAGTCAGTTCAAGAACCGCAGGAAATCTGAGTGGCAGCCAGTTTCTCCGTTCTCCTACTAACAACCTCATTCTGGGTAAACCCTGTCTGCCCTCCACCGAATCAGACAAACACTGGAACACCCCTCACCAACTGGGGTTAAAGAGTTAACCACTTTTCTGGAAACGTGAGTCTGCAAACCATTTCTCCTCTTCAAGTTCGAGAATCAATTTTCCCACTGAACCTGAAGTAACCGTAGTGTCTTCCCCTCACCTTTCATTTGTGGTTGAGCAGTGTTCAGAGCAACACTGGAATCTCCACAAGCTTCTCAATAAACCTGTTAAACCTTTTCCCTGGTCTCTCTGTATTGGTTTGTCTGCATGTGGGTCCGAGCTCTTGATAAAATCATGACAAACAGGTCATAATGAAAATGAACTGAAATGAGACAAAACTAACTAGGCATTTTTCAAAATGGAAGGAGTAGAAGTAAATAGTTTTCTATAAAATAATTACTACAGTAAAGTATAGATAATCAAAATTTCTACTTAAGTAAAGTAACAAAGTATTTGTACTTTTTTACGTGACATCTCTGGGAAACCAAGGGCAGACACCGAAACACCGGCAGGGATTATGTCAAATATAAAAACATTTTTGGCTTTTGTGAACTAACCCTAACTAAACTAGACTTGTCAACTACATTTTCTTTATACATCTTTATTTACCACTGATATTTTTTGTTATGACCTTTCATGTTGTCATTTTTGTGCCACAAACCTTTATATTTTAATGTAAAATATTGCATCTTAAATCAAATTTGAAAAATGTTTTTGTCTTATTTACAGAATTAGTTTTTCTTCCAGCTCCAAATGATGCAACACTTTCTACGGTTTCTACCACAAGAGATGTTTTGAGATAGATCCACATGAGAAAGGACCTTCTTTGCCTTAAGTCTATTTTCTTTATTCCACCCAAGACAAATACAACAATAAAACCCTGACAATGAGACTAAAGTGTTTTTAAAATGTCATTTAGCTTACTGTGATTGGATGAAAAAGGTCTTTCTTTGACTGGCCGGTTAGTGAAGTTCATTCACATGCAGTCAGTCTTTAGTGCAGAGCGTGTGAACGAGCGCGGATCAGGCTGAGCGAGCAGAGACGAGGTCGAACGCACACAGAAACACTGTTGAGCATGTGAAGAACAGGAGTAACCATGAGCAAAGGTGGCAGGATGGAGCTTTCCAGAGCCGTCCAGGCAGGTTTTAGGTGCAGCACGTTGGTCTCACTGACTGGTAGATGCACACTCAGGTCGGTGGCACAGAAATGACGCCATACCATTTCCCTTAGCAGAATCAGTGCTCTGCCTTTCCTAACATGCCTGTTACAGATGGAGGGAACATGTTTGCAGTGTCGTATAGTAACAAAGTAAAAATACTTCACTGCTGTACTTAAGTATATTTTGGAGTACTTTATACTTTCCAAGAGTATAAATACTTTTTGAGAACTTTCACTTTTACTTCACTACATTTACAAACTTAATTGCATACTTTTAATTCGATACATTTTCAATATTTGGTGTAGTTACTAAGTAAAAAAACAACCAAAAAAACAATGTCTTTTGTCCCCACCTACTGACTACAAAGTCGGGTCTTGCCTGGGCTCGTTCATCAACACCAATAGGATACGCCTGTTTTGCAAAGCCAGTGTAAATTTATTCTACACTTGGTTGTTTATATTATTTTAAGTGAATTTAACCTTCAAAGTTTACCTAAACGTAAAAAAAATGTCATTCAAACTGCAACTTACTTTTTACTTATACTTTTCACTACTTTACTTGAGTACATCTATTTTTACAGTAATTCTTGTACTTAAGTACAAACCATTTCAGATACCATAAGACTTTAACCAAGTAACATTTCAGTCAGTGACTTGGACTTTTACCAAAGTCAGATTTTGGAGAGTTACTGATACTTTTACTTGACTCTGAGATTTCAGTACTTTATGCAACACTGCATGTTTGGTCTCAGTTTCCTTTTCCGTGTCACGTTCTTCTTATACATTCAGGATGGTGATGGGGGCGTTTGGATTTCTATGGCATTATTTCTGTGCCACTGACCTGAGTGCGTATTGAGACCGTTGTTCAGCTCTTAAACTCACACAGCCTCAGTGGTGCTGGGGTCAGTATGGGGCTGCCCGGGGGGGCCTGACTCTCTCACACTCAGGGGTGTGGGCTTTGCTGGAGCGGTTTGGTGGCGCTTGGACTTGTGGGGCTCAGATTTCGGCCCTTGTCCTGTGTCTGGGGGGCCGGTTCTTGGGGGGACGGGCTGCTGTCACTCATAGCTCCTGAGGGGGCCACAGACCTATGCACTTGGAGGGCTCTGTTGGGGGCTTTCTTTGTGACCCTCTGGGTGGGGGCCCAGTTGTCTCCGCGGTGGTCTTCCTGGTCTCAGTTCTCTGGGATAGCCGCTGGTGGACTGGGGCTGAGGTCCCCTCTGCCCCCTCCAGATTGCTGCAGCGGGGCCGGTGGTGCCGCCCCCTATTCAGGTTCTCCCTCCATTTTTTTTTTTTTTTTGGCCTTCTACAGATGCAGCAGATACAGTATGTTTTTTTTTCGTCTCCTCTTTTTTATTTCTCTTCTCCTGTCTACCTGTCATGTTTGACATTACTAATCTTACTTCTGTAATAAAAATAAATCTTAAATAAATAATAAAACAGTACTTGATGATCAAGGGAGGTTTTTCATCCTGACAAGCCTCCATTGGCAAAGCAAAAGTGTTGGGCAGAGCACGACACGATAAAAAAAAGTAAAAAATGAATAATATTTCCGTTTGCTGGCTGTGCTGTGAGGTTTCAACTCCTTTTTCCCCGTGCTGGATGTTTGCCACATCATCACAACTTTCAGCCGTATTGTTTCACTGTATTGGCAAAATAACATCATTTTGCAGAAAAAAGTCTGTGTGCCTAAAACACAACTGACCCGAGGAAACCTTAAAGATGAGACCAAACCAAAGGTAAAACTGGGAAATGATTATTCTAGAAACTGAAATTTGTTCTACAACATATTATAGAATATCTTATTATTTTCAAAAAAGATGAGCTGATGCTCAGATGAAGGAGATTCTCAGACCTGCATCCGGCTGCTGGCTGCTCTGAGGACTGAAAACCATGAAGTCCTGTCTGGTTCCTCCGAATCTCAGAAAGGCTGGACTCAGAGCTTTGGTCAGAGTCCGGATCCTCTGAGACCTGCAGAGGAAATGAGGCAAAAAGGATTAGAGAGCGATGAGGGTCGGTTTACTGCTCAGCTTAAACATCTGACCTGGTAACTCTAACCTGCTCTCTACCATTACCTTCCACTGGTACCAGTGCAGAGATGTCCAGTAGCAGAGTACAAATGCTTCGTTACCTTACTTAAAGAGAAATTATGGCTATCTATACTTTACTGTAATTATTCATCAGACAACTTTTTACTTCTACTGCTTACATTTATTTACAATTATCTCAAGTTTCTACTCCTTATATTTTTAAAATAGACTTTTTATTTTAGTTTGATTTCAGCTCATTTTCATTATGGCCTGTAGGTATTTGAAAAAAAAAAATCATAATAATTAGTTTCATCCAGACAATTAATTTCTTTGTGTTTGGACCCGGTGCTGCCCCAACTTGTTGTTCCCCACATACCAAAATAAATAATTTTTCTAGATGATGCAAAGTTAAATTTGACACTATTAACATTAAAACTAAGAAAATTAAGTATAAGGAAGTTATCATCCAGAATGGTAGAAAAAGTTCCCAAATAAATGTCTTTTAATAGGGCAGTGCAGTAAATCTTCTGTGTTTAACTTTTTTTTTCCTGCATTACTTTTAATTTTATACTTTAAGAAGTTAAAAAAAGGTGCTTTTATACTTTGATACTCTAACTTCTACAAAAGTGTTTAAACAGTTGGATTTACTGCAAAAATGATCCATAATTTAGTACAATTTTCTTAAATCAGTTGTCCTTACTCTTAATTTGAGTAGGTAAATAAGATGATCTGCCAAAGGAATGAGTACTTTTACACTTAAAATAAGATAATTCGGTAATATACATTTGAAAAAAAACAATGCATATGTATTATTTTAAATGTAAAGACACTGAGAAAATGATCTAGAAATAAGTACAAATTTCTTAACTTAAGTGTATTTACCCTTAATTTCAGTAGTTAAATAAGATAATTTGCCAATGGAATGAGGTTGTTTTACTCTTAGAATAAAAATAATTAGATAATATGCACTTGAAACAAGACAATGCAATTGCTTTTTTCTTATTTTTAATGTAAATTGTCTTTTTCCATTGGCAAAGTGTCTCACCTGCCTCATCAATTCGAGAAAAAATGCAGATATTGTAAGAAAAAATTACTTATTTAGATTTCAATTTTTTGCAGTGTACTTCTGCTTGAGTAAGAAACCTTAATACTTTTGACACTTCTGTCACAGTGATAACATCTGCAGACTGCTGATCATCAGAGACCGTCTGCAGACTGCTGATCTTTGTGCAGCAGTACTATCATCACTAGGATGAGGCTTTCTCATCACTCTGCTGTTCCTTACACCCCATGATGATTGTTTAGAGCCCCCAACACAGAGCCAGAACCAGTGAGTAAAAGTGCTTCTGAAACCAGTGTGTGGAGCATCACAGCACAGTAAGGGATGATAACTACACTCAACCAGAGTTCAGCTCAATTTGATTGCTGAAGGTTGAGTTTTTCCTCTCCACTGTCGCTACAAGCATGCTTAGTGTGAGGGATTGCTGAAGAGATGCAATCCACTGGTTTTCCTTAGATGGAAAACTCTGACTGGATGATCTGATGAGCTGTAAAGTGCCTTGAGATGACATGTGTTGTGAATTGGGGCTATAGAAATACACTGAATTGAATTAATTTAAGAAAATGTTATTCTTATTTTTAGATCGTTTTTGCAGTGTGCCTTCAGGGAAGAAGCCTTTTGGGAGCGAATGAACCTTAAAAACTAGGCAGCCAATAAAAAACAAAATAAAAAAAAAGTCCTTCCATAAAAACTAAAACCAGGCAACAAATAAGAAGCAAAAGAAAGTGAAACGGAGCGGATCTGCTGCCGTCAGGTTCACATCCAGACAAACTTTAGGCTCTAACTGGAACTATTCCTAACTCAGTGATTGTGAGGCAGCAGCTGGGTCATCTCCATGATTCAACATCAAACATCATCAGAGGGTCTGCTGCCCGCTCCTCACGGCGCATTTATTTACAGGCGCGGATTAAATGTGCGGAGCGCGCGCCTGGCTCAGCTCAGCTGTAACTCTCACCTCAGCAGCAGCATGAATCTCTCCTGTGAAGCCAGGCTGGCGTCGATGGTGACGGACAAAAAGCGGGGATCCACCCGGCGAACCACCGTGGACAGATCCAGATCCAGATCCAGATCCAGGTCCAGGTCCAGGTCCAGTCCAACCGGTCCCCTTCCATTGAAAGGCCGGTTCCCTCCGGTCCGGTAAGAGAAGAAGGTAAGAAGGAAAAATAAAGTGGAGTACATGTTTTCTGCTAAGAAACACTTCCTGCCGCTCTGCTGGCGCCACCCAGCGGGGAACAGGAGACACGAGCTTCATGCTGCAAAGTTCAAAAACTGGGCGGTTCTAGGTCACATTTACCAGGGGGCCAAGAGGGGCCTGTTTTTTTTCTTTTTTTTTTTTTAAATGGGGGCCACCTCACAAAATAATGAAACAACAAAACCAGCAAATACTTAATCAATTCCATTCATTCATTCATTCATTCATTCATTCATTCATTCATTCATCCATCCATCCATCCATCCATCCATTTTCTTCCTCTTATCCCGGGTCGGGTCGCGGGGGTAGCAGCTTCAGTAGGGAGGCCCAGACGTCCCTCTCTCCAGCCACTTGGGCCAGCTCCTCCGGGGGAATCCCAAGGCGCTCCCAGGCCAGCCGAGAAACATAGTCCCTCCAGCGTGTCCTGGGTCTCCCCCTGGGTCTCCTCCCGCTCAGACGTGCCTGGAACACCTTACCAGGGAGACGTCCAGGAGGCATTCTTATCAGATTCCCGAGTCACCTCAACTGGCTCCTCTCGATGTGGAGGAGCAGCGGCTCTACTCGGAGTCCTCCCCGGATGACTGAGCTCCTCACCCTATCTCTAAGGGAGAGCCCAGACACACTACGGAGAAAACTCATTTCAGCCGCTTGTATCCGGGATCTCATTCTTTCGGTCATGACCCAAAGCTCATGACCATAGATGAGGATAGGAACGTAGATCGACCGGTAAATTGAGAGCTTTGCTTTTTGGCTCAGCTCTCTCTTCACCACAACATACCGGTACAGTGCACACTTCAAAGCAGATGCTGCACCAGTACGCATATCGATCTCCTGCTCTATCTTCCCCTCATTCGTGAACAAGACCCCAAGATACTTAAGCTCCTCCACTAGGGGCAGTACATCCCCCCAAACCCGGAGAAGGCACTCAACCCTTTTCTGGCACCAGACCATGGTCTCGGATTTGAAGGCACTGATCCTCATCCCGGCCGCTTCACACTTGGCTGCGAACCTCTCCAGTGAGAGCTGTAGATCACGCCCTGATGAAGCCGACAGAACCACATCATCTGCGAATAACAGATGCAATCCTAAGGCCACCAAGACAGATCCCCTCTACACCTTGGCTGCGCCTAGAAATTCTGTCCATAAAAGTTATGAACAGAACCGGTGACACAGGGCAACCTTGGCAGAGTCCAACCCTCACCGGAAAAGAGTCAGACTTAATGCCGGCAATGCGGACCAGGCTCTGACACGGTCATACAGAGACCTAACAGCCCCTATTAAAGGGCCCGGTACTCCATACTCCCCCCACAGGACCCCACGAGGGACAAGGTTGAATGCCTTCTCCAGATCCACAAAACACATGGTTGGGCAAATTCCCATGCACCCTCCAGAATCCTGCTGAGGGTGTAGAGCTGATCCAGTGCTCCACGGCCAGGACAAAAACCAAACTGCTCCTCCTGAATCCGAGATTCAACTATCCGACGGACCCTCCTTTCCAGAACCCCGGAATAGACCTTACCAGGGAGGCTTAAGAGTGTGATTCCTCTGTAGTTGGAACGCACCCTCCAGTCACCTTTTTTTGTGAGTTTTTCAGATTGAAATATCAGCTGTGCTGATGACATCAACACCTTTCTTTATAGATGTTGGAGATCGGGACACTTAAACCCCTCCACCTCCACCACAATAAGGGGGCAGATCAGGGAGGGTTACTTCATCATTTGAAATATCAAATAAGCCAAACAGTGAATTGCAGCTCTGGACACCTTAGATAAAGCATAAAGCTTATAGTTAGAGTGGCTCAGGTTATCCCGAGCTATCTCTTTAGTTATGCTGCTATAGACTTAGACTGCTGGAGGACATAGGAACCCATTTTTCATCATTCTATCTCTATTTTCCCACTTTGCAGAATCTCTTAGTTACATTTTTAACATTCTGCTCTCTCTGCTTTTTCTCATAGTAGCTTCATCTGGTCTGTTCCTGTTTGGCTGTGACTCCATCCTGGAGAGAAATATCAGCTGTGCTGCTGCCATCAACACCTTTGTTTCTAGATGTTGGAGTTCGGTCTGTTTTTCAGTGTAGTCCTGTTTCTCTATGACTGGTTGGATGTACTGCCTTCATCCTCTGATATGGGAGCCGGTTCAGAGCTCATCTGCCTGGCTGTGTGTTTCCTGGACGGGGCCGACTGTGGAGCTGGTTGACAAGTTCATGTTGTCTGCTTATTTCTGTACGTCTGCTTCTGTCTTGTTGAACCCGAGTCGGACTCAGCAGATGGCCACTGACACTGAGCCTGGTTCTATAGGAGGTTTCTGTCAAGAAACCGGAGGGATGGACCCAGTATTCAAGGTGAGACAGTCAGTAGGAAAATTCAAAACGTTTATTGAAACAAAAGAGTTTAATAAATTCTTGTTGTAAGGGATTGCCTTTGAGTCAATGAGTTGATGCAATCAACAGGTTTTCTTTAGACAGAAAACTTTAATTAAATTTGACCGGATGATCTGGTTGAATTGTTAAGTGCCTTGAGATGACATGTGTTGTGAACTGGATTTATATAAATAAATTGAATTGAAATATATACACCCATCTCATCCATCTATATCCACCCTGCTTAGTCCAGTCAGGGTCTGCTGGGGCCAGTGTTCTGTCAGATTAGCATACCCAGTCAGACCAGCATACCCATAGTCAATACACATGTATCCCTTTACTTTATCCCTTTAGTTTTTTACGAAAAATAAACTTCAAACTACCTCAACGGGTGTGTATCCCTTTAGTCATTTACAAAAAAAAAACTTTTTAAGTGCTTACTTTTTGGTGTTTTTTGAAGCGTATGGTGATCTGATCTTTTTCGTACAAAACTAAAGGTATAAATGCAGATCTGACATCTTGCAAATGTGAATTGACTTTTGGTAGGCTGGTCTGATGGGGTATGCTGGTCTGATGGGGTATGCTGGTCTGATGGGGCATGCTGGTCTGATGGGGTATGCTGGTCTGATGGGGTATGCTGGTCTGATGGGGTATGCTGGTCTGATGGGGTATGCTGGTCTGACAGAACAGCAGTGTCTAATATTTTTGACTTGGAGCTGAATATTTTTTCTTATTAAACTTATATTCTGAATGAAAGATGTGGTGAATTTTTTCCATGTATGTGCAGAATTATCTGTTTTAGCATAATTTGATCTCGATGCAGACTTTCATTTATTGTTCTAACACAAAACCAGCAAGATAATATCTGTTTGAATATCATATTTATCACCCCTACTGCAGTGGGTACTAAATATTTCAAAGTTGAACCACGCTGTTCAAGTTAAACTGTTAACTGAACTATCATTAGTTTAAGTTTGTGGGTCAGCTGTTTTATCTGCTTTACTTCCTGCTGTAATCCTGTTTTTATCTTTGCTTGCTATATTTTCCTTCTATTTTAATGTTTGATTCATGTAAAGTTCTTCTAATTGTCTTTGTACCGAATTGTGATAAAGTTAACTTGCCTATATGCAAGCTATAATTCATCAAAGAGATGCATAAGCAAAGCCTACACTGAAAAAAAACAGCTCATAAGATTTACTTAAAAAATATATTGTAAGTATTTGCACTCAAATGATTTAAGTAAAATTTAATGCTGCAATATCAAGTAACACCCACTTGCTAGTATCAAGTGAATTTTACTTTCCATTAAGCATAACAGTTGTGAAGATATTAAGTAACATTTACTTAATTACATCCAAGTTGTAAGTTAGATTTATTTAATAAAATTAATTAAAGTGAACTTGCATATTACTCAAAATTTTAAGTAAATGTTATATCCCTATAGAGTTTGCTGTCATGAAGTAATTTAAGTAGATATTAATCATTTTCTCTGACATTTAACATTTACTTTGCTTCATTATGTTACATTACTCACTAATATTAGGCAACTATTGCCATTTTACTTTTGATAAGTGTTAACAAATAAATTAAAATAAAAGTCTATACATTTTATATACCATTCATCTTCTTACACGCTTGTCCCGAGTGGGTTACGAGGGGTGCTGGTGCCTATCTCCAGCAGTCAATGGGCTAGAGGCGGGCTACACCCTGGACAGGTCGCCAGTCCATCGCAGGGCAACACAGAGACACAACAAACAACCATTCATGCACACACTCACACCTAATGACAATTTAGAGAAGCCAATCAACCTAACAGTCACGTTTTTGGACTGTAGGAGGAAGCCGGAGTACCCGGAGAGAACCCACGCATGCTCAGGGAGTGCCTTGAGATGACTTGTGTTGTGAATTTGCACTATAGAAATAAACTGAATTGAATTGAATATATACAAAAATTTTATAAGAATTTGACAAGTGTTGAATTGAAGTGTAAGAAACTAACCAGTAAACTTAGCTGTCAATGTTATTTACAGTAGTAGCCATTCCACTTTCCCCCACTTTCCTTGGCTGATCCCCCTTCAATTCCTTTTTAAACATCAATCGTTGTACTAAAATATTCTTTCTGTGGTGATTTGTGGACATTAAGATCTAAAGAGAAGCACAATCTCTTGGTCAGACCCTGTAATACAGTGAAAGGGAGGAGTCAGAATAAAAAACTATGCAAGAGGGGGTCACTCCAGTGGCTGGGAGTTGTAGGGAAATAGGCTGGCGTTTGACTGGGAATGGCCATTTTGAATGGCTGCTACTGTATGCACACAAGGCAAAATGAGGTGGTAAAACAAACCGTGAACAGCAAATGAAAAACAACACAAACTTTAAATGTAATCACAAGTGCAGCTCCTTCCTCGTCTGTCTTTTCCTTCATGCTGCTTATAAACTGTCTAGACTCTGCACCTTAAAGAACCAGCAGGACAGCATTTTTGGCAACACATCTTGGCTAACCAGGCTAAAATGTTCCTTTTTGATCAATTCTATCGTTGAAGTGTATCAGATCGTCCTAAGCTTTCACTGTATTTATGCTGCTGCTGGAGGACATAGGGACATTTTTTTATTCTATCTCTTTTCTTCAATTTTGCAGTCTTTCAGTGCGTTGTTCT